CAGACCTTTCCTTATGTCTCCTTCATGAGCCAGACTCTGGCCAACCATTCCTATGTGGACCTCAGTCAAGTGGGAGACCTGATTTTCATATGGTGATGATGTTCAGTGTATCACTGACCTGACCACATGTTGTAGTAGATACTGCAGGGTCCTCATCGTGGAGACTGGTATTTCCCTAATGGAACGCAACTGCCTTTCGCTGCAACTGAAACTAAAACCTATGAGATCGTGTATCTCAGGGAGTTTGACTTACGTCGTAACAGGGATGCTAACCCACCAACTGGTATCTATCGCTGTGGTATTCCAACTGATGCTGTCCATGATGCTAATGACATCTCAGTGAGAGACACAGTCTATGTGGGACTGTATACTGACAGTGGAGGTATGTTACTAATGTGTCCTAATGTTAACCCGTGGCATAGAATAAAAGAGAGTAAGAGTAGATCTGTCCATGACAGTGTAAAATGAGGATTAACTTTTTAGCCACCTCATGGAGAGTGTGCGTTAACCAGACTTGGCATAGAAAAAGAGAGTGAAAAAACTGGAATATATCTGTCCATACATAAGATGGTGTGAATGAGGATTAACTTTTTAGCCACTTGTTTAGAAATTGGCACTTACTACCATTATAAAATTTAAAATGGGAAAGCTAGCTTTTCGAAGACAAGCTACGGCTAATTATAATCCTTGGTGTACTCTGAGACCCTTTATTATGGCCGTCAATTCTTGAAAGACACTTTTGCTGGGTTAACTCCTACATATATAGCTATATATAGCTATAAAGTAGTAATTGCAGTGACTATGCGGAATGCGTAGGATGTGTAGGGTAATTGCTCACTGCTATTTTAGCCACTTTCTATCCAGGATGTGTAAGTAACAACAGAGAGCTTTAAATTTGATCGAGAGACTAGTTTTACCTGGAAAATGGCTCTAGCTGTTCTGTTGCTCCTGGGCTTGTTCTGGTCTCTGGCTGACTGCTCAGACCGTTTCCTTATGTCTCCTTCATGAGCCAGACTCTGGCCAACCATTCCTATGTGGACATCAGTCAAGTGGGGAATGATGGCAATGGTAGTGACAGTGTTCAGTGTATCACTGACCTGAACACATGTTGTAGTAGTACTGTTGGTTCTCATCGTGGAGACTGGTATTTCCCTAATGGAACTAGACTGCCACTGTTAACCCTCGGTGGTAGCTGGTATTTGCCTGATTGGACCAGACTGCCATTGTTTTATGCTGGTATCTTTGAGAATCGTGGTTCTCAGAGAGTTGACCTACGTCGTGGGAACAATGCTAACTCACCAGTTGGTATCTATCGTTGTGATATTCCGACTCTTGCTGTCCATGATGATACTGACACCTCAGTTAGAGACACACCAGTCTATGTGGGACTGTATGTTTCCAGTGGAGGTTGACAAGGAAGAGTGTTCTGATTAGTGAGGTGTCCTGATCAGTGAGGTGTCCTGATTAGAGAGGTGTCCTGATCAGTGAGGTGTCCTGATTAGAGAGGTGTCCTGATCAGTGAGGTGTCCTGATCAGTGAGGTCAGTGAGGTGTCCTGATCAGTGAGGTGTCCTGATTAGGATTTAGGTTCTCTCTACAGTGTGAGGATAAGGACATAAAGACACATTTTCTCCTAAAAGGTCTAATGTATCCTGAAAGCTATGGTTTCCCACGCGCTATCAATATTTTCATCCTTTTTAGCCACCATTACACAGCTTACCAACTCTAATGTGTCCTATGGTGCTATGGTGAGTGTGTGTTCAGATTTGGCATAGAAAAAAGAGAGTTAATTAAACTAGAGTAGATCGGTCTATAACAAAAGTGGTGTAAATGAGGATTAACTTTTTAGCCACTTGCTTAGCAATTATGTACTTACATCCATTAGAAAACTAATAATGGGGATACCTACATTTTTCGTAGACAGCTATGGCTAATTGCAGTCCTTGGTGTACACTGGGGCCCTTTCTTATGACTGTCAATGCTGGAAAGGCTTTTGCTGGGTTTACTCCTACATAACATATGTGGAACTCAATATAGCTATAGTAGTAATTGCAGTGACTATGCGGAATGCGTAGGATGTGTAGGGTAATTGTTCACTGCTATTTTAGCCACTTTCCATCCAGGATGTGTAAGTAGATATTGTAACAACAGAGAGCTTTAATTTTGAGCTAGACTAGTTCTTTTTACCTGGAAAATGGCTCTAGCTGTTCTGTTGCTCCTGGGCTTGTTCTGGTCTCTGGTGTACTGCCAGACCTTTCCTTATGTCTCCTTCATGAGCCAGACTCTGGCCAACCATTCCTATGTGGACCTCAGTCTAGTGGGGAGACCTGATGGCATAGTGGTGATGAGTGTTCAGTGTATCACTGACCTGACGCACATGTTGTAGTATACTGATGGGTCTCTCATCGTGGAGACTGGTATTTCCCTAATGGAACTAGACTGCCATTCTCTGGAGTGGTGATAATCTATGAGACTCGTGTATCTGAGAGAGTTGATCTACGTCGTAAACAATGCTAACTCACCAGTTGGTATCTATCGCTGTGATATTCAAACTAATGCTGTCTATGATGATAGTGACATCTCAGTGAGAGACACAGTCTATATGGGACTGTATTATCCCAGTGGAGGTATATATGTTTCCTAGTTATTGCCAGCTATATGTGAGAAGACAACGTAAAAGTTGGGTGATATTCCCAGTAAGACAATGTGTGTCTTTACCTGATTTGACATTTAAAAGAAATTATTATTAGGACTGGTATAAAATGCCACACTTGTGTTTTAGGTGATGTTAAAATACCTGGAGGTATGACATATGATCCGAGCACAGAAACCCTCACCTGTATCTCCACTGGTGGACCTGCTACCACTGTCACTTGGACCAGAGACTCCACCACTGTCACCCAAGGAGCCCAGACTGTCTTTAATGACCCAGTGACTGCAAACTACACCCACACCCTGAATGTGACTGGGAAATCTCCTGTACTGTACACATGTACTGTGGCTAACAACAAGCCATCTAATGATTCTGGATGCATTGCAATATCTGCTCACATACCAGTCACTATTCTTCCACTGAATGCTACAACTGTCACACTTTCGTGGACAAGCAGTGAATTCTTCTCCACTTCATTTCAATACAACAGCTCTGTCAATGCCTCTGGACTAGTAATAACTCACTACAAAACGGTCCTACAACCTAACACTGGATCTATAGACGTTCCACTAGATGATGAATTTGAAGGATATGAGCACAGCTTCACTCTTAGCCACATCTATAACTGTGATCAAGTTATAGGTTTAGCTGCTCCTGCTGTAAAGTTTGCCTTTGGTATGTGTACCTTACCTTATTTTGAAAGCTAATTCCTATTATGTCTCTTTTTAGATAAGGAGTATTTTCAAATTCAGTTTGGACCCTTTGACTATTGCCTCGACTGGGGGGTAAGTTATTGTTAAATAATACTATGAAGAAGTAGTTATCTCATATATTATACTCCACCCTAGGTAAAAAAAGTTTCGCATATTGAACATCAGCTGCAGTCCAGGTTGATTCGAATCATTCGTGAAACCTGTGCTGAATGCTTTCAACTATCGCCATCCTTCCTGAGGAAAGGCGTGTTTCTTTGCCATGGCAACCCCACTAAAACAACCTACCGCACAACTCTGGTTAACCCATTCCCCACCACAAACTCCACCCAACTGGTGGGCATTATTCAGAGTTGGGTGTCCACGGGTCCCTCTCTCGTTCTAGACGGTCTGCTGGTGAGGGTGAGTCCCTCCTGGCCCCACCTCTATCTCCAGTCTCGATGAAGAAGAGTGTGAGACTGGAACCAGGTATGACCAGGGACTGGGGAGAGGATCACTCAGACACTCAATGTCTGTGCTCTGAGGAACCTCGGAGAGGATGTCTGTCGTCTTGGTGGCTGTTGAAACTATACTATAGAGTGTGTCAGTATTCTGCGAACTTCTAGATGTAGTTAGTTCATAACTGTAGTGAAAGTACTAGCTGTATGTATACTAGTGTTTTGTGGTGCAGTTTCATAATTCCCTCCATCTTTCTTCTTCATCTTTCCTTCAAGGCAGAAAGAAAAACGAAAATACACCTTTACATTGGAGAACAAAGGTGCTGCTAGAGCGCAAACACAAAATTGCGTAGGGTTTAAGCGTGTTCTTGATCACTTATCATATGTTACATGCAACACAAAATTCAGATGTTGTGAATGAGACATTGGCTGCCTGTGTGCCGAGCCCTTTTTAGTGAGGTGTCTTTGATGAAAAAGCGCTTCTCAGCTTCCTTTCATAAGTCCCTCCATCTTTCTTTCCACATCCCTCCTTCCTCTCAGCTGTACAGTTGCCAGATACACTACTGGACTCTGCTGCCAGGGAAGACCCTCTGGACTGACCCCACACTATGACCTCTCCATGAGATCCTGCGTTGCACGTGCAAACATCATGATCAGAGATACTTCCTGCTCCAGGAAACAGCAGAGCTTCGTCGAAACATGAGAAGAAACACCAATTGACTAAAAACTAGACACGTGTATTTCATTATTTTTCTCGTATATAGTTGATCTTGTATTTACTGACCATGACTTATAGTCAACTTTTCATCCTTCTTCATGTGGGTGGATAAGATAGTTTGTATATCTATATATGGATGATCAATATCTCTGTTTTTGCAGTAATATTAGAGTGGTTCCACTCTATCTCTGCACAATAGCTATAGTAAAGCCATTCTATGACCGCATCCTTTTGTGTGTAGGTATGGTATGTGGGAAAAAAAAAAAAAAAAAAAAAAAAAAAAAAAAAAAAAAAAAAAAAAAAAAAAAAAAAAAAAAAAAAAAAAAAAAAAAAAAAAAAAAAAAAAAAAAAAAAAAAAAAAAAAAAAAAAAAAAAAAAAATGTAATCATTTTTGCTGGCGGTGCAGAATCAGAAATAGAGAAACATGCCTGTGATCCACATGCCTATGGCTGGTGCTTAGTCTTGCTGGTCTGGGGAGAAGTATAACTGCCAGACCTTTCCTATGTCTCCTTCATGGCCAGACTCTGGCCAACCATTCCTATGTGGACATCAGTCAAGTGGGAATGATGCGCAGTGGTAGTGAACAGTGTTCAGTGTATCACTGACCTGGAGACATGTTGTAGTGGTACTGTGGTCCTCATCGTGGAGACTGGTATTTCCCTGATGGAACTAGACTGCCTTTCTCTGGAGGTGGTATTATTCTATGAGCAACGTGGAGCTCAGAGAGTTGACCTACGTCGTAGGAACAATGCCAACTCACCAACTGGTATCTATCGCTGTGATATTCCAACTAATGCTGTCTATGATGATACTGACAGTCTCAGTGAGAGACTCACCAGTCTATGTGGGACTGTACACTGCCAGTGGAGGTACGTATGAGCTCTGCACAGTGGTGTTCTCATAAAAAGATTAAGCTATAATGCTCGTTAACCCAGAAAAATAATGGGGTCTCAACCTAAGTAAACACAACAATGATTTAATCATTGTATATACAATTACAAAGACTGTGCGTAGTATATGCAAAGCATGGTGACCAAAATCTGCCACTGGCTGCTAGCCTCTATTTGAAAAAATGCCTTTGCTACAGTAATTGTGTACCTGTTGAGTCCGTCATTCCTTGCCTTGCAGGGAGTGCATGAACCTAAGTCTATATTGGTGAACAGTATAGTAACCAGCATGATTATGTGGAATGTTTCTGTTTGTGTAGGATGTGTAAAACGCGCACACTGCTGTTTTTAGGCCGTACTTGTGAATTTCAGTCTGCAACAAGTAACTTTGATAACAAGTGACGTGTGATAGCTAAAGTAGCTAGTTCTTGGCAAATGGCTCTAGCTGTTCTGTTGCTCCTGGGCTTGTTCTGGTCTCTGGTGTCCTGCCAGACCTTTCCTTATGTCTCCTTCATGGACCAGACTCTGGCCAACCATTCTTATGTGGACCTCAGTCTAGTGGGGAGACCTGATTATCATAATGGTGATGATGTTCAGTGTATCACTGACCTGAGAACATGTTGTCGTGGTACTGATGGTTCTCATCGTGGAGACTGGTATTTCCCTAATGGAACTAGACTGGGATTCTCTTACAATGGTGATATCTATGAGAGTCGTGGTTCTGAGAGAGTTGATCTACGTCGTAGGAACAATCCCACCTCACCAGTTGGTATCTATCGCTGTGATATTCCAACTAATGCCATCCATGATGATCGTGACATCTCAGTGAGAGACACAGTCTATGTGGGACTGTATACTGTCAGTGGAGGTATGTTCCCTGCATAATAGTGTTCTCATGAAAAGACTAAGCTATACTGCTCGCTTGTTTAACCCAGATAAATAAGGGGGCCACAACCTAAGTATAAACAGAGCAATGATGTTATTGTATAAGGATTGTGCATGGTATGTTTGCACAAATTACGGTGACCATGCCATTTGCTGTTAGCCTGTGTTTGAAATGTGCCTTGTAAGTGTGTACCTGCTGAGTCTGTATGGCCTATTCAGAGAGTGGCAAACAGTTTCATGTAAACCTCAGTCTATGTAAGTAACCGGAATGCTTCTGTTTGTGTAGGATGTGTAAACCGCGCACACTGCTTTTTTAAGCCGTACTTGTGAATTTCAGTCAGCAACAAGTGACTTGTGATAGCTAGAGTTGGATGGCTCTAGCTGTTCTGTTGCTCCTGGGCTTCTTCTGCTCTCTGGTGTACTGCCAGACCTTTCCTGCCTTTTGCTTATCCTGATGTTGATACCTTTGAGTTTCGTGGTTCTCATAGAGTTGACATACGTCGTAACACTAATGCTAACTCACCAGTTGGTATCTATCGCTGCGACATTCCAACTAATGATGTCCATGATGATACTGACATCTCAGTGAGAGACACAGTCTATGTGGGACTGTACACTGGCAGTGGTCCTATGGTATTATGGCGAGTGTGTGTTAACAAGACTTGGAATAGGAAAGTGAAACAGTCTACAATTAAGACGGTGATTAACTTTTTAGCCACTTGCCAAGAAGTATGTACTTACCACCATTAGAACTAATATGGGATAGCTCCATTTTTCCTAAGCAGCAATGGCTAATCGTAGCCTTAGGTTTACTCTGAGACCCTTTCTTACGACCGTCAATGCAAAATATGTTGGGAAAGACCATTTACTGGGTCAACTCCTACATGGACCTCAGTATAGTCACACTGTGTGGAATATGTTTGTGTAGGATGTGCGCAGATCATTGCTTACTGCTATTTTAGCCACTCTCTTACCGGATGTTATTGTACCTGACAGCAGATAGCTTTTCACATTTTGATAGCTAGACTAGTTTTTTTCACCTGGGAAAATGGCTCTAGCAGTTCTGTTTCTCCTGGGCTTGTTCTGGTCTCTGGTGTACTGCCAGACCTTTCCTTATGTCTCCTTCACGGGCCAGACTCTGGCCAACCATTCCTATGTGGACCTCAGTCGAGTGGGGAATGATGACAGTGATAGTGACAGTGTTCAGTGTATCACAGACCATTATGGGTGTTGTAGTGGTACTCAGGGTTCTCATCGTGGAGACTGGTATTTCCCTGATGGAGATAGACTGGAATTCTCTATTAATGATGGTGATATCTATGAGAGTCGTGTTTCTCAGAGAGTTAACATACGTCGTAGGGACAATGCAAACTCACCAACTGGTATCTATCGCTGTGGTATTCCAACTGATGCTGTCCATGATGATAGTGACATCTCAGTGAGAGACACAGTCTATGTGGGACTGTATACTGCCAGTGGAGGTATGTAAGAAATGCACAGTGGTGTTCTCATGAAAAGACTAAGCTAATGCTCACTTGATTAACCCAGATAAATAAGGGGGCCACAACCTAAGTATAAACAGAGCAATGATGTTATTGTATAAGGCTGTGCATGGTATGTTTGCACAAATTACGGTGACCACACCATTTGCTGTTATATAGCCTGTGTTTGAAATGTGCCTTGTAAGTGTGTACCTGCTGAGTCTGTATTGGCCTATTCAGAGAGTGGCAAACAGTTTTCATGTAAACCTCAGTCTATGTTAAGTAACCGGAATGCTTCTGGTTGTGTAGGATGCTAACTGCTGTTTTTAGGCCTGTACTTGTGAATTTCAGTCTGCAACAAGTGACTTGTGATAGCTGGAGTAGCTATATAGCTTTTGGCAAATGGCTCTAGCTGTTCTGTTGCTCCTGGGCTTCTTCTGGCGTCTGGTGTATTGCCAGACCTTTCCTTATGTCTCCTTCATGGACCATACTCTGGCCAACCATTCCTATGTGAACCTCAGTCTAGTGGGGAGACCTGATCTTCCTAATAGTGGTGAAGGTGTTCAGTGTATCACTGACCTGGACACATGTTGTCGTGGTACTGATGGTCCTCATCGTGGAGACTGGTATTTCCCTGATGGAACTACACTGCCATTCTCTGGAGATGGTGATGGTATCTATGAGTATCGTGGAGCTCAGAGAGTTTATCTAAGCCGCCGTAACAATCCCACTTCACCAGTTGGTATCTATCGCTGTGATATTCCAACTAATGATGTCCATGATGAAAATGACATCTCAGTGAGAGACACAGTCTATGTGGGACTGTACACTGACAGTGGAGGTATGTTACTAATGTTTCCCTAAGGTATTATGGTGAGTGTGACTATAGGCATAGATAAAAGAGAGTGAAACTAGAATAGATCAGTCCATAATTAAGACAGTGTTATTATGAGAAATAACTTTTTAGCCACTTTCCTACAATATGTATCTATACTTACGACCATTATTAGTAAGGGGGTGGCTAGTTTTTCCAAGAAAGCTACAGCTAATTGTAGTCCTTGTTACCCTCGGCGCGCATGCGCAGCGAGGGTACTGTAGTTAACCCTCGGCGCGCATGCGCAGCGAGGGTTACTGTAGTTGGGTTTGTCTGTCTGTCTGTCTGTCTGTTACTCTTAATCTCACCTCTCGAATGTCTGTTCGTCCCAGAAAAGATACCATCTACCCAACGGGCGACGAAGGTCAGAAAATAAAGGCGGTTTTCTCTGAAAATGCTCCGTTGCAGAGCTAGAGCGCTTCCACCATTGTACTTGCCGGTAGTCGCCATTTTATCGCTGGCTGATAATGCGCATGCGCTTATATTTAGCACAGGCTTACCTCGACCGGGTCCGCTTGCTCTGCCTATCTTGAAGGCACAAGAAGTCACTCTCGCGTGCTATCTACTACTGTAGCTAGCCCGTGTCAGACTCTCAGCGACCTACTTCGCCGAGGGTTTGCACTTTAGTGCTTTTCATTGGGTTTGTCTGTCTGTCTGTCTGTCTGTCTGTTACTCTCAATCTCACTTCTCGAATGTCTGTTCGTCCCAGAAACGCTACCATCTACCCAACGGGCGACGAAGGTCAGAAAATATGTGGGGTTTTCTCTGAAAATGCTCCGTTGCAGAGCTAGAGCGCTTCCACCATTGTACGGCTAATGCGTAGTCGGCCATTTTTATCGCTGCGGAAAATGCGCATGCGCTTATAACCTCGACCGGGTCGTCCGCTTGCTCTGTGTATCTTGAAGGCACAAGAAGTCACAACGAAGGGCGTGTATCGACTCTCGCATACTATCTACTACTGTAGCTAGCCCGTGTCAGACTCTCTGCGAGCTACTAGCGGGAGATCACGAGTAAACGCATACTAATAGCAGCCCAGCCCATCAATTAGCGGTACCGCGCATCCCCAGTTCGCCGAGGGTTTGCACTTTAGTGCTTTTCATTGGGTCTGTCTGTCTGTGTCTGTCTGTTACTCGTCATCTCACTTCTCGAGTGTTCGTTCGTCTCACAAAGGATACCACCTACTGAACGGGCAATGAAGGTCAGAAAATATGTGTGGTTTTCGCTGAAAACGCTCCGTTGCAAAGCTAGAGCGCGAAAAAGCCAATATGCAAATACACAACGGCTTACTACGGCATGATCGATCCGCGTGCTCTGCGTACCTCGGAGGCACCAGAAGATGCAACGCAGGGCGTGTATCGCCTCTCGCATGCTATCTAGTAGTGTAGTTAGCCCGCGTCAGACTCTGCGCGAGCTGGCAAGAGACCACGGGTAACAGCTAAAACTAAACCCAGCCCAGCAATTAGTAGTACGGCGCATGCGTTGACTTACGCGTGCGCGTCACAGTACGCCGAGGGTTTGCACTTCAGTGCTTTTCAGTTTACTCTGAGACCCTTTCTTATAACTGTCAATGCAACAATTGCTTTCTACTGGGTCAACTCCTACAGAAGTCAGGTTCCTCCCTGTGAATGCCACAACTGTCAGGATCTCCTGGGCTGGCAGTGTTCACCTCTCCACCTCCATCATCTACACTGTCTATTGCTCCACTATAATTATAATACAGTATGAGAGGGTTTACCCACCTGGAGTGACTTTTGCTGACATTGTTCTGGAAGATAACATCACTCTTACTGACATTTACACCTTCACCACCACCATCAGGTCTCCCCACTATACTGAGGTCCACATAGGAATGGTTGGCCAGAGTCTGGCTCATGAAGGAGACATAAGGAAAGGTCTGGCAGTATACTTCTCCCACAGACCAGCAGAACAACATCAGCCATAGGCAGTGAATCACGGCCATGTTTTCTGATTACTGCAATGCCAGCAAAAAAATGATTACATATCCCACATAGCTACCATACTTAGAGAGATTGGAATGAAGATTACTCAGCAAAACGAAGAATTGATGATCTATCCTACAAACATCTTATCCACCCACATGAAGGAGGATGAAAATGGACTATAAGTCATGGTCAGAAATTAGGTAAAATGTCCTCAGTCTCAATAAGATATCGTCATTCATCGTAATACAATATGAGAGGGTTTGACGCTGCCTAGCTGTCATATCGATGCGAAATATAGCCAGCCTAACAACTCTCGTCTATTTGCTGGCATTCGCTGCGCTCTTCGATACCTGACCGAGGCTGTCTATACTTCCTTCCAATCTTCGTGATTCTAAGGTTCAAATTGTAGGATGGCTCTCATTGTGTGCTCGCTCCCGCTCGCCAAAAATGCCATGCATTCGCCTACTAGTAAGATGCATGTTGATGTCATGTGTGGTTGGCAATGTTAGTCATGTGGAGCAAGACTATTAATTGGCGAGCGGGAGCTAACCTAGTGGTATATACGAATGGCGCGATTTTTCTACAAGTGGAAAAATCATTTCTTCAAAATGAAAGGGGGATATAGGGATGGCTTGAAGCACCAAAAAGGAAGAAACAAGGGGTCATTACACAGCAAAGTTGCACAAAGCTACATGACACCATCCCTATATCTTTGTTTTATTGTTTATAAGCAAAGTTTAACCCTTTGGACACCATGGGTATCTCCTTAAATAAGCAGAAATTGATGTATAATATATTAACGCCTAGTATTATAGACATAATAATACATTCTTATGGACTTATGGAGGCTCTGGGCATATACATGCCCGTGGCTTGCTAAGGGTTAATATCGAACAAAGATATAGGGATGGTGTCATGTAGCTTTGTGCAACTTTGCTGTGTAATGACCCCTTGTTTCTTCCTTTTTGGTGCTTCAAGCCATCCCTATATCCCCCTTTCATTTTTTTAAGAAATGATTTTTCCACTTGTTTTCTCTAATTTTTTAACAGCTTATGACAACACTACATTTATTGTTATAGTCACTCTGATGTTCATGGGTATGCTGTAGATAGGCTACCATAGACAAATTGTAACTGTTGAAAGTAGTAGCTATAATGGTGCCTGAAGCAGGGGCTAGATACCGCATTCACCTCAGGTATTGTCTTCAACAAGGATGTAATTAGATTATTGCACATGGTTGTGGTTTCATGGGCAGGCTTTGGTAATCAGGCTACAACCTGGGGGGACAAACAATGAAGGCCCGTTTAACTGAGTGCCCCGCGAGGCTCGCGTAACACAGCGTAGACTCTGGCAAGTTGCTCTTCGTGCAAATCAACAGCAAGCTAGCCAGTTGGAAATGTGCACACTTACTTACAGAAGGTACTGGAGGTTGAGAGTTTCTCTGCAGGTCTGCCAACTCGCCTGGTAATACGCTCGCAAGCGCATTGGACAATGCCCCTGCCTCGCGCATGCGCGAGGCTCACCGATGCTGAGTAAGCAGCAAATGGCGTTGTTCAGTGTCGACCAAGGAAGAGCTCCATGATCTACCGTAGTGACTAGCGGCAAGAAAGAAACGATCGCTTGATGTCCGTGCACACCTCCGGGCGAAATTGGAGACTTTCAGTGAACAAATCAGTGCTTGAACTGGTACTGGTAAGGAGATAGCGGGTTTAAAGAAGAAGAAGAAGAAGAATATGATGACACGAAAATCGTGAAATCGCGTATGAGCGAATTCTCCCGTGGACGACTGGAGGTGCGTATGAGGTCTTGGGGGGACATGTATAGGTAGATATGGGCCCGTAGACTATTGCTAGTATGTTTTGAAGGCCTAGGGAGTGATTCTCACCGAGTTTTTAGTCGTTTTGTACGCGGATCACGTGAGATTTCACCCGCGTCATCCCTATATAGAGTCTACCCCGCGTACCGACTCTCTAATTCGTGCGTCGTGCAAGTGCGCATGCGTCATAATTACGCGCTTCTTTTTATCCTAAAAATTTTTACACCGTATATTTCTCGTGTATTATAACTCTCGGAACAGGCCAACTATATACACTTTCTGCGATGGATCGGCCTAGAGAAAATGCCCTTCATCGTCGACGAGAAAGGGAAAGAGAACGTCGTGCCGGTCTGTTTTTCGACGGTGACTGCGTTATAGGGAACAGGCAAGGCAACGCCTGGCCACGGAAACAGCGGAAGGGAAGCACGACTAGCGTGAAACAGTGACAGTTTCATCGCCTCAGTGGAGATGGACTGAGCTCTCCTTGTACAACTCTATGCATTTGTACTATCATTACATTGTTATGAACAACTAAACAACTTTTTTGTGCATGTACACAATCGTTAGATCGCTTCCGCTCGCCAAAAATGCAGTGCATTCACCTACTAGTATTCATCATGAGGACTCTCTAGTGGTAGGTGTGGTCTTGGCTAGCCGGCTGTGGCTATTATAATACCCGTTTATCATATAACAGCACGTCGTTAATTTTGTGCATGTGTCCACTATACATTGCTCCACCCTTTTGAAGAACCATTCATAGACACGTGATAAGCTTTTGTTGTTGCTATGAGTGATCAGTTATCGTCATTGCTAAGATCTGGGATCGTGACTTCCACCAGAAGCTCAATCTCTCATAGCTTATGACATCTGAAGGAATGAAAAGCACTGAAGTGCAAACCCTCAGCATGCGAGAGGTGATACACGCCCTGCGCATGCGTTGCATCTTCTGGTGCCTCCGAGGTACGCAGAGCACGCGTATCGATCTGACCGCGGTAAGCCATCCCGTCTGTCTTTTTCGCGATCTAGCTTTGCAACGGAGCAGGTTTCAGAAAAAAACTGTCGATATTTCTGACCTTCATTGCCTGTTAAGTAGGTCATATTCTTTGTGAGACGAACAAACACTCGAGAAGTGAGATGTAGAGTAACAGACAGCACAGACCCAAATACCGTACCCTCGCTGCGCATGCGCGCCGATGGTAAACTAGCTAAAGGAATGAAAACCGAAAATCAGCATCAACATTATTGCATAAAATTATGAGACGTATGTTGATGTCATGTGTGGTTGACAATGTTAGTCATGTGGAGCAAGACTGGTCCAATATTCATCATGAGGACTCTGTTCTAGTGGTAGGTGTGGTCTTGACTTTCGCTTGACTCTCTCTTCTCCCTCCTGACCTCTGACCCCTGACTCCACTCCCTCAATCTTCACCTTTATCAGGTCTCAGGACTCTGGACTCCAGACGATCGAATGCCTGCTTTGCTGCTTGTCTGGCACTCTTCACCAGTTTTAGTAGGCTCTGTGGATGGAGATGGTTACACAACAGTCATAATAGCAGGAGTCGAGAAAGCTTAAAAAAACATCAGCATGAATAGAGAACTTAGGTGGATTAAATTTCCCAATTATTCCTTTCCAGCCCGCAGAGCTCCCTTAGTGAAAATAGGAATGCATTTTTTGGTGAGCAAAGCAAGCAGTTCAATATTTCACACGTTATGTGGAGTCCGCCCACTGTTACAGTAATGAAAAATCCCACATTCAGACTACAAGGGAGGCTCACTTTACCTGCCAATTTTACCTGAGAGAGTCTAGTGACTGCTGATTCATGAGAGTCTGTTGATTGGGGAGGCTCCTGAGATGAGTCCACTGATTGGGGAGGCTCTTGAGATGAGTCCACTGATTGAGGAGGCTCTTGAGATGAGTCCACTGATTGGGGAGGCTCCTGAGATGATTGTGTTGATTTGGGAGGCTCCTGAGATGAGTCCGCTGATTGTTGAGGCTCCTGAGATGGTTGTGCTGAACGAGGAGGCTCCTGAGATGATTGAGCTATTTGGGGAGGTTTCTGAGATGACTGATCTGGTTGGGGAGGATCCTGTGATGATTCCGCTGCCAAAGCTCCTAATTTGGAGGGTTTCCTCATGTAGCTTCTCAGTAGTCGACGCACAGCCCTGTGACTATCGCCAACACCGATAAACTCGTAGCAGTGAAGGAAAACCGGCTGCGATATCCAGGGCTGTGAGTCCATTCTGAGAAAAGGAAATTTAACACTCAACTCATTGCACACGTTATGGAATACAGTGTAACCTCAAAAAAGGGACTCCGAGATAGGGACAACCTATCTACAAAGGAAACTTGTTCTAACTCCACACTATGACCTTTCAGATAAGGACGACCTCTCTATAAGGGACTAAATCGAGTGTCCCTGTCATACACACTTGCTGTTTACACGAGTTACACTTTAGCGTTTGTGCTGGTCCTGAGTTCGATTCCCGACATCACCGTTTTTTCCGCTATAATTTATTATTATTCATGATGGCTTATTCATGCGCGTGCAATTAGTTAAGAGTGATAGCTATCCTCACATAATCTCTGAGATGTGGGTTAGCCCCTGTCTTGAGTAGCAATTCTGTTGTTGCTGCATCTCCTTCATCGACGGCAAAGAAAAGAGCTGACCATCCATTGGTCTGGTGTGGAGAGAGAAGAAAATCTAAGATTTGGTACAATAATTATCAAGAAACTCTTTTACAGTTTGAATATCAAGAGCGATGTTGTCTCCTGACAGTAGTATCTCTGTGATATCAGTTCTACCAGATCTTGAGGAGATAATCAGGGCGGTCAACCCCTCCTAATCAGGGAGAGATTAATAATCAGTGAGACCTTCTAGCAGTGAGTGATGAATCACCTGGTTCTGCCGGTTGAGGTCAGCTCCAGCTCTGACCAGCTCCTTCAGGGACTGACAGATTATAGATTGTGGTAGCCACTATCACAGCTGAGTCTCCATCCTATAGAGAGAACAAAGCTGACACTTAACACTACTGGCATGGGAGCTCATTTTACCTCATTCTGAAGGTCAATGTTTGCTCCAGCCTCTATTAGCAGTGAAATCACTCTGGTCCTACCCCACCTGACAGCCAACATCAGTGCAGAGTCTCCATTCTGCGTGAGTGTAGTGACACACTATGACTTCATCACACACAAGATAACCACTAAGATGTGATATTGTTATGTCGAAATCATTCATGTGAACTATGGGGTAGAAAGGCAAAGGCACAACAAACAAGTCAACTAAACCCAGGACGGCTCTTTATATCAAGAAGAGCTGCCCTAAGTGGGATTCAAACCCACGACACTCTGTAGTCTAGGCGAGTGCTCTACCAGCTGAGCTACCAGGGCACTCAGCTGGTACGTAGGGGTTCAAATCTTCAACACAACAAGTGGAAAATCATTTCTTCAAATGAAGGGGATATAGGGATGGCTCAAAACATGAAAAGTAAAGAACAAGGGGTCATTTCACAAAATGTTTCCACTTGTTTCCATTCTTTTATGAAAGCTCAGACAAATGAAAGCACTTGAAAGTGCATAACCTCGCCACTGTGATTCAACGTAGTATAGACATTCAGCGGCCAATGGCTACTCCTTCACTGAACAGATTCGCTCCCTGGCTCTCACTTCACCGGCAATCTCGCTCCTACTCAACTGTATATACCATCAATACAGGCAGACCAGCAAATCTTTTCCATACGCGCAAAGCATCTAGCATCTAAGTACACAGCGATCGTCCACGATCTCTATCTGACGCACACCCACTTCAAGGGCGTAGGCGCTGTGGGGGCTTGGGGGAGCTGAAGCCCCCACCCTCAAGTTTTCAGCCCACGGTTATATTAATATTATACAGGCGTGCGCTGGCGCGTAACTTGTGCGTCGCGGAAAACTATGGTTACGTGCAAGCGTACCGCAATAAAGCTCAAGCCCCCCCACGTTCTGACTTGTGTCTACGCCCCTGCACCTCGGCAGCTGTCCATTTCGCCAGCTTCCCCGGCCTTCTCCGCTCCAGAATCTTATTTTACCATGCATGTCTCCTACTTGATAATATGTCCACGTTTCATGCACAGAGTTGCCGCGGTTACCGAGAAAAACTGTGGACACACTCACACACTCTAATTAATAACATGGGAAGTTTTGACTTTAGTAGACATAACATCTACAACAAGGTATAAAACAGCCTGTATATAGTAGCTCAGTTAGGAGCAAGAGTGAAGAAAGAAAGAAGTGAAGAATAGAGAAGACCAAAGAATGAAGCAAGTTATTACTAAGGATACGTAGCTGCTATACTAAAATTGCCTTTATGTAATGTAGGTTAGTTTGTAAGTACAGTAATTGTAGCCATGTAGTAGGCAAATCTGGACTCCAACCAGGTGGAGTGGCCTCGCCCTTTCTGGAGTGTCTCACGTGTTGGGAGTTTAAAGAGGCCGAAACACGTGTGACATGAAAGGTTGGGAACTCCCCTGATGACCAGTAACAAAGAGCCTAGCACTGCACCTGCATGTTGCTGGACTTGTGGATAGGTTTACATGTACGTTTAAGCACCTGGCTGGCTGCATGCGGTGACGCTGACAAAAGCTGCCCACCCTAGAAACTATAAACATTTCTATCACAATTGAATAAATTCCACCTAAGACTTCACTTTATAAGTTAGCAATCTTTCACCTCTATCGACTTTCTCGACCTCACAATCTACAAGGGCCCATTCTTTGAATTTACACATACCCTAGACACAAAAACCTTTCAAAAACAACTCAATTTATATCAGTACTTCCATTTTTCATCCCACCACGAAAAGAAAGTATTCAAAGCCAATATTAAAGGAAAATGTGTACGGTATGTACGTACCAACAGCACACTCGAATCCTATACTCACACCTTGCACCTCTTCAAAACGAGACCCCAAAAAAGGGGCTACTCTACAGATTTTCTAGAGAAGACCACTACAATTATCAAGTTCAAAACCGGAAGAAATTTCTACAAGCTAAGAAGCCACAGCAATATACAGTCTCACCTCCACTATACAAATACCTTCCCCCTTCACAATACACCCTGTTGAAACAGATAGTTATGCAAGATTACATAACAAA